TAAATTTGCTGTTACTGTATTTAAATAATCGTCTACAGAATGTTCAGGATCTGTTCCTGTGAATACCATTAATGTTTTATTCGATGTTATTGATGATCCACCCATGAGGTATGGGTTCATAATCATCTGTAGTCATTCTGCGGCATTTGGCATTTGTGAAAAGTTTGAAAGTTGATTTTTTGTTATTTCATGTTGCTGAAGGTAACATGGGAGCGGTATTTCATTTTGCATTTGGGTTGGTTGAAAAGAATGCATTGACATTGGGTTTTGTGGTTGTATTGGTTGAAAAGATTGTCTATTAAATGAATTTTGTAGATGCATTTGAAGCATTTGTTGTGGATTTTGTGTATCTGTTGGATTTTGTGGGTAATTTTTCATATTTTGAGATGGTTGAGATTGTCGCGATCTCTGTGTGCGATATTCTTTAGTATATGGTGCAAAAATATCTGGTTGATGATAATCATCGTCATTAGATGATAAATAGTTTGTGTAATATGGTGTATGTTGTTTATTTTTATTCTATTGAAAAAAGGGTAATTTTCAAAATAATCCTGTGTAGGGTGTAGATTATCTGGAAAATTTACTGAATTGGTCGATGTTTTTGGGAGATTCCAATGATGGGAACATACGTGACTTAAATTTTGTATAGTTTTTCGGGGGGGGGGGGGGTTTGATATGTTTTGGGTTGGTGGGCATAATTATAATTGTGTTCTGCAAAAGTGTTTCTTGTGAACGTTTTTCGTGTTTTTGACGGTTTTGTCATTGGTCTATACGTTTGATAGTCCATATGTGAATATTTTGGAGCAACCGAAAGTTTAACGGTCGATTGTGAGGTTACCTGTGTTAGTGATGTATTTGTATTTCTTGGTGTTGTCAGATGTGATTGTATTGGTGAAATACTTTGTTGAATAGTTGTTGCTGTTGTTTGGACGATTTCTTCATTTATGAAGTGTGATGGTGTTTGAATATCTTGTTGTGTAAGATTTCTGGTTCCATTGAGATTTTCATTTTGTATGATTGTTGAATTTAAGCTGTTATTTCTTGTATCAGGTAAAAATGTATTATAAATTAATGGTGTTGCGTCAATCGTTAATGGTATTACTTTTACATAATCTGTGTGGAAAGATTTTGTACTTATTGCTTGACTCGAGATATCTTGTGGGATATTCGTAAATGCTGGATGAGACCACTCAGGGTCCCAAACGTAATCTGATTGTTTTGCAATGACAGTGTCGTCATTGGTATTTTGAGGTCTGAAAATTTTTCTTGCTTGTGAAATTAAATCTATATCGTGGGTAAAATAATCTATAATAAACCATGCTAAAATCTTTTGCAAACCATGTTTAGTGTTTTGTGAGACATCATTTTTGGTAAAATTTTCGCGAATTATATGTAAAAATGTTGAAATTACTGTGATTTCATTTCTTACTTTTGTATGTTTGGATGTTTACTGTGTTTACTGTGTTTGGTGATATACTTTGAACTTCTGTTTTTCTAATATAGATATATAACTATATATTATTGCAAAAACTTCGTTAGTGAATATGGAGTTTGCTCTTTGTGAATTGTGATATTTATAATTTTGATATATTCTCTGAATACTTTTGAAAAATCTATTTCAATTTCGTCTGTTTGAATTACATATTTACCATGAGCTGTTCGCGGTGTGCTGAATTCTAGGGTGTAGATTCCGTATTGTTGTGTTAGATTAGATATGTCTTTCAAATAAGGTTCTATATTTGTTTTTTGATTTTTAAATCTGGGAATTCTGCTTTACATGGACTGATTCCTGGTTCAAACAAATTTACGAGTAAGTTTTTGCAAAATCGTGTTTGTCCTCTATCATCGAGTGAATCTATAAGAAAGGGAAAAACTGCTTCTTCATCTGGTCTTTCGTCACTTTGAGTGTGGCTCATTTTTTCGCTTGATGACTGTTAATATATAACTATCAATGTGTCTAATTGGTTGATTCCAATTATATAGGTGTACTGGTTTGTGTTTATATTGCTTTTTTATTCTTCTTTTTCCTCTTTTTGATGAGTTTGAAGTTGTTTCTGAATCGGAAAAATATAATTGATCTTGGATGAGGCAATTTTTATTTATTGATTCTTTTAATTTGTATACCTTGTCTAAACTGTTGGCTTCTGATTCGGAAAATGCGTTTCTATTTTTTGAAAATCGTTTTCGTGTGATTTGTCTTTGTTTGCTTATCTTTTACGTTTGATAACCCATATGTGAATCTTTCGGAGCACCCGAAGGTTTAACGATTGATTGCAAGGTTACTTGTGCCAGTGAGGTATTTGTATTTCTTAGTGTTGTCAAATTTGGGCGTATTGGTGAAATACTTTGTTGTGTAGTTGTTGTGTGTACAATTTCTTCATTTATGAAGTGTGATGGTGTCTGGATATCTTGTTGAGTAAGATTCCTAGTTCCATTGAGGTTTTCATTGTGTATGACTGTAGAGTTTAAACTATTATTTTGTGTATCGGGCAAAAATGTATGATAGTTTAATGGTGTTGCATCAATGGTGAATGGTATTATTTTTACATAATCTCTTATGTAAGATATCGTACTTATTGCTTGACTTGAGATTGATTGTGGGAAGCTTATAAATGCGGGATGAGACCATTCGGGGTCCCAAACATAATCTGATTGTTCTGTGATAGCGGTATCATCGTTCGAGTTTTGGGGTCTAAAATTTTTTCTTGCTTGTGCAATTAAATCAATATTGTGTGTGAAATAATCTATTATGAACCATGCCAAAATTTTTTGTAGATCGTGTTTTGTATGTTGTGAAACGTCGTCTTTCGTGAAATTTTCTTTAATGATGTTTAAATAACTAGAGAGTAGTGTGATTTCATGTCGTACTCTTAAATGTTTAGATGTTTCTGTCGGTGAGACATTTGTTATTGGGATTTCGTTTTCTAATATCGAAATATAACTATATATTATTGCGAAAACTTCATTGGTGAATATGGAGTTTGCTCTTTGTGAGTTATGATATTGTATGCTTTTAATATATTCTAAGAATACTTTTAAAAATTCTAAGTCAAGATCGTCTGTTTCAATTACATATTTGCGGTGATTCGGGTTTGGTGTACTGAATTCTATGGTGTAGATTCTGTATTGTTGTGTTAAATTACATATATTTTTCAGATAATGATCAATAATTTTTACATCTGGGAATTCTGCTTTGCATGGACTGATTCCGGGTTCAAACAAATTTACGAGTAAGTTCTTGCACAAATCATGTTGTCCTCTATCATCGGGTGAATCTATAAGAAAGGGGTAAACTGCTTCGTCATCTGGACTATCGTCTTTTTGAGTGTGGCTCATTTTTTTGTTTGATGACCGTTAATATAAAGCTATCGATGTGTCTAATTGGTTGATTCCAATTATACAGGTGTACTGGTTTGTGTTTGTATTGCTTTTTCATTCTTCTTTTTCCTCTTTTTGATGAATTTGAAGTTGTTTCTGAGTCGGAAAAATATAATTGGTCATTGATGGGGCAATTTTTATCTATTGATTCTTTTAATTTGTAGAGTTCGTCTAAATTTCTGGCTTCTGATTCAGAAAATGCGTTTCTAGTTTTTGAAAATCTTTTTCGTGTGATTTGTCTTTGTTTGTTTATAGTTTTTCTTCTTATTGTTTGTCGTTTTGTTCGAATGTATCCAACTGTTTGTGTATATGGGGTTATTACAAAATCGTATTTTTGGTTGTCTATTTCACAATTGTGTAAAACAATTGTTTGTTAATTTCCTAAATTTTTGATTGACATAAGGTTTAGGATGAGGGATGCAAGTAACCATTACTGATTTTTTGTTTTCCTAGACTATTAGTCCTTACAATTTTTTGGTTAGCTTAACCTGGGTCTTTTTATTCAGGGCTGGAGAGAAAAGTATATCGATTCCGGAGAATGATTTTTTACTTTCTCGTGGCTAGTCTAAGTTAAGGTGTTAACTTACCTAATCTTACTTAGGGATAGTGATTGTGTTCAAGGGTTGGAGAATAATAAATCGATCCACAAGGTTCAGATATAATTAGAACGCAAGTAGTTCGTTAGAAACTATTTTAAATTTACTAAGTTCAAGATCTATCCTGGGTCTGGTAAGAGGAGGGTTCAAGTGAAGGATGAACAACCGAAGTTCTTCACTGTTTAGCCTAATTTGAATGGTTAGTGTTATTAAAAATTTCCATTAGTCTTGGGTCTTTTGAATAGGTTGGATAGTGAATCGACGTTTGAGGTCGTTAGACACTTGATAAGTGGGTGGGGGAGAACAAAATTGTTCTTTTTGATCCAAGGATAGGCCTTGATGATCAGAATTTAAATTTAATGAGATAGAAAGTTTATTAAGATCCAAGAATAAGCCGTGATGATCTGATTTTTAAGTTAAGTGAATTTAAGTTTGAAATGGTATAAATTTATTTAATAAAAAGATTTAGTTTTTGATGATCTAGTTTAAAATTAAGTAAATTTGAGTTTAAAAATGATTTAAATTTTGATAAAAAATGATTAAAATCTGATTTAGTTTTTGATCATCTAGTTTAAAATTAAGTAAATTTAAGTTTAAAAATGATTTAAATTTATTTGATAAAAAAATTAGTTTTTAATGATTTTAGCTGGCTTATGATTGCTGTTATGTTTAGTTGATGAAGCTGGAACAACAGGATGATTTTATAATTACTAACTATTAATTGTCATGCTACTAATTTTTATTTTCTATTTTCTATAAATATTTTTCAGTGATAAAACAATGGTTCATTAATTTATGACAAGTGTCTTTGCGTTACGACAACGTTAAAATAATATTTTTTCCAAACTGAAATCGAAAGGTGAAGGTTGGGAAAAGGAAAAAGCAGTTTCTTGTTAAGAAAAACAAACAGTAGTTAAACAACGATGAATTTAAAATTTGGGCTTTCAGAAAAAACCTGGCTCTGATCTGAGTGCAGTCTGGCTCTGATGCGAGTGCAGTGATTGTTATTATATAATATTTGTTTAGGCGAAGTCGCTCAGAAGTTAGCGCATACATTGAGCTACGTTTCTTTACTTGAGTTTTCCTATCACGTCATAGGAATTGGCAGCTCACTTCCTTCGATGGATTTAACTGCACTTACTCTAGCTCAAATTAAAAAGACACTTGAGGATATCAAAAAAATGATGAAAATCGTCCTCGCAACTCCCCTCAAGACTGCTGGCAGCAAGACATTGAGTGCCATCAACTATTTGGAAAACAATCAAATCAGAAACGCTGTTAAGCAGTTTTGGGACGCTAAAAACGATGCTCAACAAGCGTTAGTGTACGCTAAAGGCCAAGGAAACAGTATAGAAAATCTAAGAGAAGTTGCAAAAGCGACTCAGATTATAGTCCTAGCTAAGTTTTGCATACTGTCCCATGACCCGAAAAGCGACACCATCGAACCATTTTTTGTTCTCGACGATGACAAAAAAAGGGCAATAGCTAACGAACTTGAACGGGATTGCAAAGAATTTCTCGAGTACCACAAATCTATCAAAGTGGGTTTGCTTGACTTCTGGCACATTAGCGCTAAGAACAAGGAAATAGAGTCAATGAAGAACACGTTATTGAGGCAATTGTATCCCTACATATCTGAAGGTAAAAAATATACGAACGCAAATGAAGAGCTTCCACCGGGCGCTGAAATAGAGTGCGATTCTCAGCTGATGCCTGATGGGCATGAAAATGCTACTAAACTTATACTAGGCTTCAGAGAAACTGAAAAGAATGAAAAGAACAAAATCGTGGAGTCGTTTTACAAAGACAAAGACGGATTCGTTGTTTCTGTCGAAAAAACTACTGATATTCGGTTCGATATTGGGTTCTATCATAAATTGAAAGATGGAATTAAAATTAGGCCTTTTAAATTTTTCGTGCTATCTCCGGAGGTCATGGGAGACATGAAGTTTATAAGAACAACTGACCAGGAGACAATTTTCTACGCTAAAAAATTGGAATTTCGCCGGAATAAAAACGTAAAGGTTGAGATATACCCAATTTCCCTGGCGTTCTTCTTGTACAAGTCAGCTAAGAACGTCTGGTGCTGTTCTCCTAGTGTAGGAGAAGATGATACATTTCACAGCTGTTCATTGAGGAACACGACTGTTCAAGACCAAGAGGAGACATCAGAACTTCCACCACTGAGTGGCTGGGAATACTTCAATCAAGACGGCGAGTGGAAATTGTATACAGATGAGTTGCCCATTGACTCATTTGCGACCCTTGATTCTTTAGATTGCTCCCGTTTTATTGCAAAACCATGGGCAGCCTTGGACCGATCAAAGTACAAAGATGAAATTATCATCACCGCTTCGGTAGAAAACATTGTAGGTGCTTGTTCACTCGTTTGCGGAGTATACAAATACGGGGTACACGAGGCAAAGGAGCACAATTGCAAGTTAATTGAAGCTTACAAGAAATCAAGCAAAAACGACGTTTTAATGTACAAAACAGATGTACAAAACATCAGGAAAGTGAAAGTGGAGCATCGACAGGAAAGTTTCATATACAAAACAGATGCAGGAAAGTGGAGTATCGACAGTGTTTTGGGAAATTCTTCTCCCATGTATTCAAATGACTCCGCGCCAAACAGCTATTGGCCTCCTGCAACTGGATGGAAGCATTACTTTGGATTTAAACTACCGATTGAGTTGAGAATCAAAATAAAGGATATATAAAATTGCTGAACTTAAATCTGCCGTGAAAACACTTCGAGAAAGATCTGCATTTGCTTTTAGAATTACGTTAAAGAAATAAACTTAACATTTTCTTTGCTTACTAACATTGATTTGAATTAGAACATGTATCCGTTTCCTTATGTTTTCATTATAGTATCTGTGATAACCACCTGCGTCGGTATCTCAGAGAAATCAATCGCTTTAAACGCGCAAACTCATGGGTCAAATTAAGTCGAACACACAAAAAAACTTTTGTGGAAAACATGGTCGAATCATGGTCGAACACACGTCGACCAAAAATCATGGTCGAAACACAGTCGAACAGAATTCCGGGTTTTTCTCAAAATTTTCAATAGTGCAAAATGTTGAAAACATTTTAAAAACAAAAAAGTGGGGTTTTCTGTAGTGAAAAAAGTTTCAAATAAAAACTTAAATTAGTCGAATTTTTGAAGATTGAACTTCTTTTGTATTTGTTTGACAAAATAAGAGGCTCACTGTCATATAGTCTTGTCAGTAATTGACCCAATCTTTTAGCTTTGTTTCTGATTGGCTAAAAAAGTCGAAATGAGTTTTGCCAAATTAATGGCACCATAACACTTCTGCTGAGTTTCTAAGTATGTCTTTTTATCAGGATCTCTCGTCGTAAGTCAACCAATCTGAGAAAATTGTTTTGAAGTTTCAAGTTTTTTTGCGTATTTTCTGGATTATTTGACTCAGCGCTGTAGTCGAACACTTTTTTGAGGGTTGGTCGATTACACGTAAAACACCAAGTAACGCAACAAAAGATAGTCAAAGAAAGAAGTCAAACAAAAATATCTCGAAAAAATTAATTGCGGTAAAGGCCCACAATTTAGCAATCGCCATTCAAAAGGGGGTCTTCGGCTTATGTTTCGACCAAATTTGATCGATGATCGAACACACGATTGTTGCTTGACTGAAATCCATTATGGAAAGCAGGCTTTTCAGTCAAAAACATTTAAGAAACATCATCGAAAACGCAGTTCAAATAGTATTCGGACACTATTTCGAGTCATTGCCGAACACATGTCGAATACAATGTATTGTCGAGACATACTGTTTTGATTTTCATTAAAAAAAAAACTAAATATTATGTTTTTGTCTGGCTTGCCTTTACTTCAAAGCCAGCTTAACTGTTGTTCCTGCTACTAGCAAATGATATAATTCGAAAAATCCACGTCCACAGAATCTATTTTTACGCGCGCATTTAAGTGATTTCAGCAATTTTTGGCTAATTGAGTCAGGTTTTAAACAAAACAAGACTGCTCGTATCAGGGCGAAGCCCTGAATGTTCCGACTGCCTTTTAAGGTTCATGGAGCAGCAGAAATAACATAAAAAAATTATATGAAATAAAAAAAAGTGAAAATTTTTTTTCTGAAATTTGAAATTTTTTAAGAAAATCATCACCCCACACACCAAATAAAGTGTAAAAAGATAGATTTCATTCCTTGTAACAAATCAATTATGGCAAAAACGCTTCGTTCAACCAATTTGGAACGATTGATAAGACGGATTAAATCTCCGTTTACGCGTTAATAGCGCGAATTTCATCGCGCTATAATTGTCCCAAATTGGTCAAAATTGCAATCTTTGAACCCTCATAACTTTACCAAAAATGATCACCGGTGAAAAATCATTTCAAATTTGAGCTCATGACAACAATACCTTTCGAATGATATTAAAAAATTCCGTCAAAAATGGCTAGTCAAAAGTCGAAATTGTCTGAAGAAAAAAAAAACCCACCCCGAGCACAAATATTCCGTTACTTTCGTATCAAAAGTCGGAACAACTATGCTTAAATTTTAAACAGCCTGAAAAATGCAATAAATGCAATCGCGCAAATATTATTTTTTTAAAACCTTTTTGTGAGCAGGATTGCATTTGTATGCTGTTAATTGCCCCGTAAATTGATTGGGGGGAGGAGGAATTGTAACACCATAAAACTGATGCTTGAGGAAAAAAGTGACCAAACAAATTGCTTTGCAGATTCATTTAAATTGTGGCGGTGAAAAAACGATGGAAAACGAAACCGAAAATTTTTGCATTAAAATTGGATCGCATTTACTGTAGAAAAGATAGCGACTATATTATGCAAAAAGGTACTACTATGATACAGTGGTCCCCTGAAAAGGCAACTATGATAGACAGATCCCGCATGCACTTCGCATGTATTAATTTGGAAAACTATTTTGTGTATAAATTAGTCATTTCAAAAATCTCGCGAAATACGTTGAGTTCGGAATCTGGAGTTCGGAATCTTAGAATAACTATATTGTTTAGATTAAGTAAATTCCCGTACCTAGTTATTGTTCTAACTCAGCTTTGAAATGTACTTTTTCAGATCTAAATTGCGGAATAATGGAATGTTACAATAACGCTTGAATACTTTAAAGAATTGGTTATTTCAAATCTAAAATCAGAACTGAAATATTGTTTTTCCAGGCTATTTCAGACCTGAAAAAAAAAAACTGTTTCAGATTTATTTCCAGGTCTCAAATTTTGTGTTTGGTTATTTTATATCTGAAACATTGTTAAGATCTTATTTCAGATCTGAAGATTTTTTTGTTGGTCAGTTCTAGTCTCAAAACTTACCAACTAGGACATAGTTCTCGGCTCAATTTGGTTGAACCATATGTTTTTAGACAAGCCATTCGGTACCAAGTGATAACAAGACTGCTCGTATCAAGGCGAAGCCCTGAATGTTCCAACTGCTTTTTAAGGTTTTATGGAGCAGTAATAACATCAAAAAATTAAATGATTTAAAATGAAATGAAAACTTTTTTTTCCAAAATTTGAATGAAATTGACTTTTTATGAAAATCATCCCCCACACGCCATATAAAGTACAAAAAGATAGATTTCGTTCCTTTTAACAAATCAATTATGGCAATTAAGCTTCTTTCAACCAATTTGGAACGATTTTAAGACGGATTAAATCTCCGCTTACGCGTTAATAGTGCGAAATATATCGCGCGTTAATTGTCCCAAATTGGCCAAAATGGCAATCTTTAAACCCCCATAATTTTACGAAAAATGATCACAGGTGAAAAATCTTTTCAAATTTGAGCTCAAGACAACAATAGCTTTTGAATGATATTAAAAAATTCGGTCAAAAATGGCTAGTTAAAATGTCGATATTTGTCTGAAGAAAAAAAATCCACCCCGAGCACAAATATTCCGTTACTTTCGTATCGAAAGTCGGAACAATAACCAAAACAAACATAAAAAACCATAATCATGGTGTTTTCAACAATAATTCTTTATGAAATGTTTTTTTGATGCACTAGTCGAGTAGTATTTTGGAGAGTTGTCAGTTTTTTTGGATAGAGTTTTCAGCTATGTGGTGGTGTGTAGATTGTGTGTGGTGTCTGTGATTTGGGCCTCTCGAGAGCCTCGTTCTGCAGCTGAATATCCTGTACGTCAGCCGGATGCTCTACTGTGCTGACGCCAACTTTTGCCTGTTCTTGAGTATGTGCAAGTACCTTTGCCTCCCGGGTGGAGGTCCAGACTCATGTCCAGAATTTAAGGGTAGCGCCACATCCGGTTTTTGACCCAAGTTGCATAGTCGCGCCGAGAGTTTCAGTCTGGAAAGTCTGGACATGAGTCGCGCCGATACACACTGACTGTAGATGGAGTGCCCTATCTGTCAGCTCCGAGATGCGACTGTCTATCTGACCCACCTCCCCCACCGAGTGCCAATGCTGCTGCTGTACTGCATGTACTCCACGTGCACCTGCTTTAAACCTAGACTTTTTAAAGAAGTGCAAATCAAGGGTTTCTTGAGTTTTAAGGTTATTTTTGAACTGTTTGATTCTTCTTTCATGTTTAAATTATAGGTTTTTTCAAGATTTTTGAAGATTTTTTCACATCTTGCGCAATTTTTTTAGCGGTTTTTCTTTGATTAACCGCTCAAAAACCGCGCAAACCGCTCATTTTGAACAAAGTTTTTGAGAGCAATTGTCAAAAAAACCGCTCAAACCGCTCAAATCTTGCTTCAAATTAGGTAAAAATCTCGACTGGGGAAGACTCTAGCGTGTTGATAACGACAACAAATTAGAAAAACAAATATTTTGAAATTTTGCCGTGACATTTTTCGAACGTCGGAACAATGTCCTAATTTAACAATTACAATTTAGACCTTTCTGTAAACAATGTTTTTACGGGGAAAGTTCTAGTACCCGGTTGCAATACAGATGCTACATCGGAAGTGTAAAAACAACTTTAAGTTATAGTAAAAACATTCTTTTGAAATTATGCGCTAAAAAGGTGTACAAACTAATAAAAACTGCATTTGAAATTGAAAAAGAAACAAATAATGAGCCGTCAGAGTTTAAGATAAAAACCATATCTAAGAGTTCAAAACATTTAATCTATTTTTCATGAAGTTGAACGGAAAAACTATTTAAACCTACGATATACACTTGAACGTACTTTTGAATTTTTAGGAAATTGAGCATGTCAACGAAGCCTCTACTATAAAGTAACTGCAGCTGTGCTTCTTAATATTGGGGAACTTGTTTTCGGGAAAAAAGTTGAAAAAAGGGTTACAAGAACACTTGCTCTCGCTAGTGAAACAACAAGTTGTTATAATTGATCATAGAGAAAATAGGCGGAAGACATCAAATGTCCATTGAGAGCCAACGTTTACACTGAGGCGAAGCACAGAATTTTTTTGGCGGGAGGGGATATATAAAATGATTTCAGAAAAAAGTCGTTACAATATCTTAGTCGAAAAACACAACTAATTGTTTCAAACAGTCTCAAAATTTGGGACCGGCACGTCAACTTGAGTCGAAAACAAAGTCCTTCAATTGACAGGTGGGTAGACGCCAATTGAGCCGGAAATAAAATCTTGCAACAGAAACTAACCTTTTTTTTCAAAGTCTTTGAACGGAGACACAAAAAGGTAAATCAGTCGATACCAGTCAGGCCAAATAAACGTTTTAAGCGACAAAAAGAAAGAGGAAAACCGTGGAAAAAACTCAAAGAAGAGGTATAAAATTTACAAATACAGCACTAAACCAAAAACAGTGGAAAACGCAGTATTTTTTTCTTGAAACGTGATGCAACTAACTAAACTAGTTCGATTGAAATAAAATAGCCTTAGGAGAGCCCCGT